ACCCCACCCCCACCCCCCACTGCCCAAGTGTTCTGTAAACCATCTCTACAATGTTGCTACTCAAAGTTTGGTCCTCCAATAGCGCATGAGCCTCATCCAGTAGCTTGTTGGAGATGCCTGTCTCAGGCCCAGTTCAGACCTACTAAATCAAACTGGGGTCTACAGGTGATTCATATGCTAGTTGTTTAAGAAGTATTGAGCTACAGGACATGTATGTGACAAGGTAATCTCAAGTTAGCAAAGGCCAAGTGGCAAATGAAAGATACCAGAAACGCATGCCGAGGAGCTCAACTGCTCCTTAGTAATTCTCCCTGTTAGGATTTGTTCAGAGATGTTCAAAAAACTGGAGAAAAGCAAACTCATTTCTATACAAGCGCCCAGATAAAACAGTCGCTTCTGAGCACACGACACGCAGCGCTCTCCAACCCTTGAAAACAGTGCCCTCCAGTGGTATACAGAAGGAATTTGTGGCTCTCTCTCTCTGAAATAGAGCACCTAGGGCTGAGTCTGGCCTCTGTTCTCTGCCGGTGAGAAACCCTGGTCAGAAGTCATTGGTGTCTCTAGGCGGGGTTTTTGGTTTTAAAACCGGCTGCCAAATAGCTAGCTCATCACCTGTGTCACTACAGTGTTACGCGCACAGAAATGCACAAAGCAGAAACAAAAAAGTGTTCCTTATGAGCCAGATATAATTTTTGCAAAACGATAAAACCAGAAGAAATTGTCTGAAATGGTTTTCTATTTCACCTTCCTGGATCCTGGCACTTTGGCAGCAGTGCTCTCCTGAATCCCAGCTGTCAGAAACAAAACAGGCTGCTTCCTTCCTTCCTTCCTCTTTTCTTTCCCCTCTTTTTCCTTTCCGTTCCTCATCTTCCTTCTGTTTATATTCCTTTCTCCGGAGTAACAGGTTGGTTAATTTGCATTAAAAAACAAAAAATAAAGGTTGTTTTTTTTGTGGGGTTTTTTTTGGGGGGGGTGTAAATTCTAACTCAAATGCCTGCAAAGTAACCTATCAACCATTGCCTTGTTGCACGATAGTCAGTACTTGTAAGTAAATTGTTAATCAAAGACAGCTCACCAAAGCTTGTTTTAAAAGGGAAAAAAAATGCATTTTTTTCCACTGAGTATTTTCTAAGTTTTAGAATGTCCCTATGCTTATATCTCCACAATGACTGTCTTTTTAAATGTTTGA